CTCAAAAAAAAAAAAAAAAAGGAAAAGAAATCACCACACTGTTTTCCATAGAGGTTGAACTAATTTGCACTCCCACCAGCAGTGTAGAAGTGTTCCCTTTTCTCCATATCCTCACAGCATCTGTTGTTGTTTGTTTTATTAATGATGGCCATTTTTACTGGGGTTGGGTGGTATCTCAATGTGGTTTTTGTTTGTTTGTTTGAGTTGGAGTCTCTCTCTGTCGCACAGCCTCGACCTGCTGGGCTCCAGCGATCCTTCCACCTCAGCCTTCCAAGTAGCTGGAACTACAGGTGCACACTACCACACCCGGCTAAATTTTTTTTTTATTTATTGTAGAGATGAGGTCTCACCAAGTTGCCCAGGCGGGTCTTGAACCCGCGGGCTCAGGCAATCCACTCACCTCAGCCTCCCAAAGTGCTGGGATTATAGGCTGAGCCACCGAGCCCAGCCCTCAGTGTGGTTTTGATTTGCAATTCTCTAATGTTTAGTGAAGCTGAGCATTTTTTCATGTGTCTGATGGCTGCCTGTATATCTTCTTTTGAGAAGTGTCTGTTCATGTCTTTTGCCCACTTTTTAATGGGGTTGTTTGTTTTTTTCCTTTCAGCACATTTGGGTTCCTTATAGATATTAGATGTTAGATCTTTGACAGGAATACAGTTGGCAAATATTTCTTTCCCCATTCTGTGAGCTGTCTCCCTGCTCTCTTGATGGTGTTTTTTGTTGTTGTTGTTGTTGTTGTTGTTGTTTTGCTTTGCAGAAGCTTTTCAATTTGATGAGGTCCCACTTGTCTATCTTATCTCTTATGTCATGGACACCTGGGATTTTGATCAGGAATTGGTTGCCTATTTCTGTAAGGGAGTCTCCTGTTTTTCCTAAGTTTAAGGTTTTACATTTAGGTCATTTATCCATTCAGAGCTGATTTTTGTGTATGGTGATAGGTAGGGGTCCTGTTTCAATCTTCCGCGTGTGGTCAGTTTTCCCAGTGGGTTATCATTTACTGAATAGGTTCTCCTTTCCCCAGTGGTTGTTGGTGAAGGGTTTGTTGAAGATGAGTTGGTTGAGAAATTGAGGTTTTATTTCTGGAATCTCTATCCTGTTCCATTAGTCCATATTCCTATTCTTGGGACCATGAATTTTAAGTCACTATAACTAGGCTCAAACACATGTTTGTTTGTTTATTTATTTATTTTTGAATTGGAGTCTCACTCTGTCGCTCAGCTGGAATGCAGTGGCACACTCACAGCCACCCCAGCATTGACCTGCTGGGCTCCAGTGATCCTTCTGCCTTAGCCTTCCAAGTAGGGGGAACTTCAGGCGCATGCTACCATGCCCGGCTAATTTTTAAATTTATTTTAGAGACGAGGTCCCTACAAGTTGCCTGGGCTGGTCTCAAACCCATGGGCTCAGGCCTTCCACTCGTCTCGGCCTCCCAAAGTGCTGGGATTACAGGCTGAGACTGAACCCAGCCAAATACATCTTTATTGATCAAAATAGAAATCATTACAATCAACACATTTTTGCCAACAAGATAAGTTTGCTTATTCCTGTAGTGTATAAATCCATGCTTCAGGATTCAATGAGCTCTTGGAAAACATTGTCTGCATCCTGCTGGTTGTGGAAGTGTTTTCCCTGCAAAAAGTGTTGAGATGCTTAAGAAATGATAGTCAGTTGACAAGAGGTTAGGTGAATATGGTGGATGAGGCAAAACTTTGTAGCCCAATTTGTTCAAGTTTTGAAGCATTGATGGTTGTATGACATGTGGTCGGGTGTTGTCATGGAGAATAATTGAGCCCTTTCTGTTGACCAATGCCAACTGTGGGCATTGCAGTTTTTGGTGCATCTCATTGATTTGCTGAGCTTCTCAGATGTAATGGTTGCACCAGGATTCAGTAACCTGTAATGAATCAAAGCAACAGCAGACCACCAAACAGTGACCATGACCTCTTTTTTTTTTTTTTTTGAGTTGGAGTTTCATTCAGTCACCCAGACTGGAGTGCAATGGCCACTCCCGGCCACCGCAGCCTCGACCTGCTGGGCTCTGGCGATCCTTCCGCCTCAGCCTTCCAAGTAGCTGGAACTACAGGCGTGCACTACCACGCCCGACTCATTTTGATTTATTGTAGAGATGAGGTCTCGCCAAGTTGCCCAGGTGGGTCTCGAACCCGCGGGCTCAGGCATTTCACTCACCTCAGCCTCCCAAAGGTGCAGGATTACAGGCTGAGCCACTGAGCCCAGCTTATGACCTCTTTTTGGTGCAAGTTTTGCTTTGGGAAGTGCTTTGGAGAATCTTCTCAGTCCAACTGGTTGTCGCTGGTTGTTGCATACAATCCACTTTCATCACATGTCACAATC